TACTTTGAGTAGTCAGATGATTTACTAGCTAAATTATCGGGTCTCCGTTGCCAATACAATGAGCAGGTTTCTATCATTATACTTGGCGTGCTTGTGCATCATATCTGCGTCCGCATGTTTGGCTACCTGACCTATGATAAATATGCAAACGGTGACGTCCAATACTAAACAACCTGCTTGAAAACATAGTGCCATTATTTTCTTTCCTTGCCCCATATAGTGACTGCTAGTCCGAAACGTCAAGGCAGCTCCCACTCCCACATAGTGCTCAAAAAATAACCGCGTTTAGATCTGCGTGCCTAACTACGTTACCAGAAGTTTCCGAAGCTCTGTCAACCCCCACCAGTCAACCAACGCAGCGCCATAGGCGTCACACTTCAATGGTGCGCACCCAACCCACGCGGGATGAGCTGGGGTTTAACCTGGTCTCAACTCTAAGCCAGCTAATTTTATCGTAATTTATATATATACACATATTACTTATACTACTTAGATAGATAACTTGATGTCTGTCATCTTTTGATCAATGTGTGGTTCGTTAACGGCACCGCATATTGGCCTATTCCGAGATGTCGTTAACACACTCAAACGCCAATGCTTCACTGGCTTTTATATAGCACCATCGTGCATGTATTTTCCCATGTAATCCAAAAGGAACCGAAATCTGCTGTTAACGCTCAAATCAAAAGAAGATCTATCTTCTTTTTGGATGATCGCTTGCCAATTTTACAACTTAAACTGCTGTATTTCTGTATTCGCTCTATTTATGCATTTGTCTCCTTATCCAGTTGGAGCATCACCTAATTTCAGTAATTCCCTTAGCTCTGTTCATTTTTCGTAATAATTACTTTCGTGATTTAGATGTTCCATACGTCGGTAATCTACAGTAGTTTATTATACAAATCTTTTGTCGATTATCGGGTCTTCCCGCTAACTCGAGTCGCTTGTTCTACCGACAACAGTCAATAGCTTCGGCTGCGGTTGATTCGAACCCTAACATTAAAAAGGAGACGTGCAAACATCAGGCCGCTAGCAAAATCAACAAAGCAATTCGTATCTAATGACCTACATTTTCAAAAATTGCCCGCCATTTTAGCATAGATCGGATTCGAATTTTGGCAAAAAATGACAACTTCCCATCCTGTGCTTCCATATATAAATTTCCTACTCGAATATATATATGCGCTTCAACTCACATATAGGAAGTACAGGATTACTGTAGAAACACTGAAACATCCTTGCAAACCATTAGCTGAACGCGTGTAGTCGTCGTTGAAGGTTAACCATCGTAACGGACCAAAATAGTGTGAGAATGATTTGTGCAAAATAGCCGGCCGGAAAAATTATTAGCTAAATGGAAAAACAGTTGCGACGGAGCCATTCCACCTTCTACTGCCCAAAATGCTAGCAAAAACTTGGATGCGCCGAGCGTTTAGCGAAATAGGAATATGCTGAATTGGACGGACACTTAAGCAGAGATCAAAATTCTCGAATATGTTTGCACTTCTAGTTTAATTCAAGGGACTATTTGGGTCTTTTACAGACATTTATAAATTGTTTGCTTGTTTTGTCGTTTCTTTCATCGCAGGACTTCGTCACCAACCGGGTAGTAAGTGTAGCCTTGGCTGATTAGCTATGCATATATATAGCGAGTGAGCCCTATATAGAAAATATTGCAGGTAGCAAGCAGCCCATTGTTCTGTACCTTTTAGTTTTCTGCACGGGATCGAGAGAAAGCCGCAACCTAATCGCGATTTGTCGGCTTTGTTTCTGAATTTAATTGCGGACGAAAACCTGTAACGACAATTAAATTTCCTAACCAACTTTGGTCTGTCGACCGAAGTCAATCTTCATCGAATTGAGGAAAAGAGGCTTAGAGCTAGTTGAGCACGAATGACGCTGCGTGTTTACTAATTACCATCCTCTGGCCTTTGTACAATATTGAAGCTTGTTGCCTGTGGACATGAGCGGCTCTTCTGCGTGCTTGCGTCGAATCAGCGGGATACAAAGCACGAAGTGCTTCTCGGGCCGGATATGTGTTGGGCTAGCTGCTTCGTGGATGACAGTGGTACACATAGATGCATCTACATTAAGGTTGGCCTGCTTCGAATGTAGGACCAACAGCGCAAGCATTGTCGATGTACAGGCGTCCGATAGGCGAAGGGTTTTTCGAGAGCGTTAGCAAATGACGGCCTCTTGGGTTTTGCCTGTGTGCTCGAACAGATTAATAACAACAACCGGCTGTCTAAGATAAGGCCTGAGACGATGATATTCTCCACTTGAGACAACCTACAAAGGCCAGGCCCTCCAGGTGGCGGGAGATGACGCTTAAATCCGCTTCAGAATCAGATTGCTGACTAGTGATCTCATGTCTCTAATGGTGCAAAGAACTGCAAGAGTAAGGCATAAAAAACAGCTGCCTACCATTCGTTTATTTTTCAGGCTCCGCTGATATTCCGCTATGGTGGCGAGGAGAAATGAATAGCTGAAAATAAGCGATGAGTAAAAACGAATGGTATAAGGAACTATAGATAATTTCTATGACGATTAGTCAACTTGAAGTAGTTTTCTGATGTACACTTTATTTGAATCCGTCCGCAATTCCCCTAAAAATGCAATCTGTCTCGACAGTAGCACGAGATCAAATTAGTCATCGCGAAGATACTTTATAGCCACGGTACAACAAGACGTGTTTTGAACCTGAATGTCTCAAACACCTTATTATTCGGCGATCGTATTCTGCTGCTGTTATAAATGCAATTAGTAGCTGCGATAGATCAAAATCAGGTTACCTGAGAGGACTTGCTCGACCCTACCGAAAGCACAAACGCTCAAGTGAAGTATAAACGTGTTCAAGTGAAGCAGAGGTTCACAAAAATAGCTGTAGTCACTTGCTTCTGGCGCTGAAATGTTATTATAATAGAGGTTCTAGACATTTTACCGATTGGCCGTATTCACGAGTTCGAAATTTTAAACATCAGATAATCACCACCAAAATGTTTTCTTCATACAAAACAGTTATAACAATTTTCTAACATTTTCGAAATTAAAAGGAAGAAATTCAAGACTGATTTACAAGTTATAGTCTGGAAGACAGAATAATCGCGAATAAGGATAACTCCAGAATTATTTCGAAAATTCGTTATTGGCATATTCAGTGTAACAAAACTTTAAATAACAAGCAAGTTCTGAACGGAGAAGCCTTTCTGCAGGTTAGAATTTATTCACATGCGTGATACTCTAGCAAACTCTGCGGGTAAGAAAAAAGAAAGAAAATGTTGACATAACCATTGGCCTGACCAGATTTCATTTGTGCAACTCGTATATTGAAAACGTGGCTTTGCCTAAAGCACCTAAGTAGAACAGCTAGCTCAACTTAGTAATCAACTGACCAACTCATGTTATCGACCTTCATGGTAACACACACACACACATTTTTAGAAACTCCGGTTACCGAGGTCTGATTGTGAACTGTCCGTTGTTGCGCATTTTGAGAATGACCCGCTTTTCGCTATAATGGTTCTGAAGCAGTATTCAACTTCTGTCCCATTCTGCAGCATTTGCTTCGCCTCCTTTCTCTCTGAAAGAGCATGTCTCTGTGGATGCATATGGGAGGGAGGGAGAGGGAGAGGGAGGGAGGGAGAGAGAGAGAGGGAGGGAGTGGGAGGGAGTGAGTGAGTGAGCGAGCGAGCAAGCGAGCATCTATCGCAGTTTTAGTGCGTGAGCCCATACTTATGAATGTCCGTGTGTGCTTCAAGCGAAAAAACTTAACTATCCCTGAGCAAGAGAGGCCCTTCTTCTCAATGTTCAGAGACGCTGCACTGTTAGATGAATGCACAAGGGTTTCCTTACTAGCGTTTGCTTATCGTTTCTCTTTATCCGGACGTGCTTCGCTCCGCTTGTCCTGGTCGAGTTAGTCTATCAGATCTAGCCTGAGATAGAGACAGACCGAGTTCAGTTCCTATGCTCGTGGTCCAGCTTCTAGAATGGCAGAATACGACCGGTCCTAGAATTGTCTGCAGTGTCCGGCGTTCTCCATCAACCGCCCTATGGTATATTCTTAGAGTATGTAGCAGTCTTTGATGTTACCATGGCAACAGAGTGCATTTGAAATCTCTGAGTCAACCCTAGAAAGCTCTTTGTTTCCAATGGACTACAATGGCTAAACTAGAAAAATAAGCATATCTGGCATAGCATTATAATGTATGTATCTTCATGGAACTTGAATTTTAATCTACGCAGAAGGTTCCTACATGTGCCTGCTCTGAGCTAACCTTACAGGCAATGAGAGGACAGCTGCTACGTTATCTGCTTCAGAAAATCCCTTGACTAGTCGTAGGTGGAACTCTTGGAAGTTTTCTGGCATTGGTAGTAAGTAAGGCAAGGAAAGTAGGACAAGTTCTACATTACGGTACCCACATCTTTTAGTTGTGTAGATCTAAACTGCATATAACGCCGCGCATGCACAAGAACGGTGAGTGCAAAATAATTCGTCGAATGTTTGCGGCGTATTAGGCAGAACTAGCATGGGTGATTGTTAGGAATAATTCGCCATGTATAAGAACTTGCTAGAATTCTCATAGCCTTCTGTGACTAATGGTCGGAATTTAGATACACCACTATACGGTAACGTACCGTACCGTCAGATTTAATGGGAAAAAGTGAGCCTATTAAATTCACAAAGAAGAGCACAGAATAAAGCCAAGGACTGATAAACAGTTAGCCACATTGATTGTAGTCAGAACCAATGTTTCCGTCATATCACCTAATGGGATGTAACAAATAAGCACATGAGCCGTATTTTGAAGGGATTAGATATATCCATTACATAATATCGTTATTATTGTCGGATTTGGAATTTTCAGAGAAAAACATTCCTGCGCAATCGATTGCAGGTTTTCTTCCTGTATAATCTTATGTACTCAAGGCATAAAATAGGACATTCAAGCTGTTTTGCTAGATCATCCTTCAGACTCCATATATTTATTCTTTATTTTTAACCTTATTCTACACTTATAAAGCCTTAGTATCTCCCTAATTTTAGAGCAGGTGCACATTGATCTGCTGACAGAGACCTCATATTCTTCAGACAGAACGAAAGGTTTAGCTACGAACTCATTCCCTCGTATGCATACAATGTCCCAGTTCATCATAAGTCTGTTCAACTACTACATTCTTTGAAAAATATATGATCTAATTTAGTGGTGGTCGCGTCAAGTTGCGCATAAAGAAGCTGCTCTACCTAACTTAACTCCAAGAAAAAAAACGCAAGATTGATTGAAATGCACTTCATTACATTCCTTGTCTGCTACGTTTTCCATTGTTTTCAGTCCATTCGCTCGATGGATCATATAAACAAAGATATACATTACACACACTGTTATCGCTATATCTGAAGCAAAAATACTAGCAAGAATACCATTTCACATTCAATTGCATTTTAATTAACCTGAAATCACACTTCTTGGTTCTGGCTTTATTCACTATATTATTATTATTATTATTATTATTATTATTGGATAATTCACAAAGACGTATAAAATGACTGATGAGGATGCCAGAACAAAATATAGCGAAAAAAAGGAAAAAAAAGATATTTTTATGACCGCATATGCTGTAGGACATCATAATTAATCTCTAAACCTACCACGCAGCCTCTAGGTAGGCAAAAATTAGGATCGGATAAATACACGTTATCGTACATTTAATGACCGCCGCCAGATAAATCGCTTACTAAATTTCAACTCCAACAGGGCAGAAGTACCAAGCAGTGAACTTAAGGAACCAAATATTTATCTACTAAATACCCATTGCCCCTTAAGAATATTGCAAAATTCCTGAATTTCATCATACTTTTTTACAAAGACAAATAGAACCGACGTGCAACAATCTGAAAGCACAGCGTTCCTAGTAAATCCAGATTTGTTTTTTATATGTTTCCATATAAAAATAAGGAATTTTGTCTGGTGTAGACTTCGTTATACTTCAAAAGATCTATTTCAACATAATATTAATCGACATGACTCATCTCGTATACTAGTCATTCCCTGTTTCCTGCTTCTATCTATCTTCGTATGCTCAATAAAAACAGTAAATTGTCACCGATCGGTATACCTCATTTTTCTGGCACACTTTAAAGTCCTGTAAACAAATAGAAAATAAATAATTTTTTAAATTCGTTTGAGCTACTCACATTCGAAGTATCTTTCTCTCTTTCTCTCTCTCTCGCTGACTTACAATCACCGTTACATATACACCAACTTATCGATGCTAACAACCATTGAATTTTCGTATCGTATTTATATGCCTTGTCGCTTTACACATGTATCCACGCCCGCAGGCACACGTTCACGCACAGAAACCGTTGTTATTCAAGTTCACACTTGCGGCAACAGTAGGGTGAATAACTCACTCGTCGCACAACGTATACCATATCAAATATACGTACATATATAATTTTTCTTAACCATGACAGTGGTTAATTAAGTGGCAGAAAAGCACATGCCGGATAATTGACTTTCTGAAAGTTGGCTTTTGGCGACCATCGCGTCATTTAGCAACTTTTTAGCAAGCTTCCCTTAACTGTCCACGATCAATTACCTCCCATACTTCTACAGTTTAGGTCTCTCTAAAGTAGCTGCTTTTTTGCTGTTCGCGATAGCCGCCTCTCAACGATTAATTTTGAAGCATCTGGGTTTCGAAATTTGGCAGAAAATATCTCGTATTCATGTAAAGCTTAACTAACTATAACCAACGTTTTATGGTAAAAGTAGATTGGCTTGGACGCACCACCTGTCGTACACCTACCTGTATTGCATCTTGATAATACTTTGTGTTAACAAACCCAACGCCATCCGTGAACTTACACCTTATACGAGTTGACTAATTAAATATTGGGCTGCCCGTATCCTAGCAATAGCTTTTTACTCTATCCTAACCTTCAGATTTAAAGGCTAAACCAATCGATATGCTTGCATGCACGTTTGATTGTTCCGCTAATTCCATATATATTAATTCAACGACGGAAGAATCGTCGATGACCCAGTTTGTTTACGCCTAAATAGTTATTTGCATCGCTCTTCTATGTTCCTCCCTCTTTCGCCCTCGGATCAATCCGAGACGATAACGAAATCGGATGTGCGCTTAATGCACTAATAATAGGTATTAAACGCTCAACCTCCACTATTGATACTTCCCTCACTCTCGACCTTCACGTGGTCGTGATGCGCATTGTCAAAAAAGTAGATTTTTTTAAACACCTGTCCTTATACTGGTCATCATCATCAATCAATCAAGTACAATTAACAGTATCAACAACATTTCTATGTAATAATGTATCTACTAATGTGATATATATGTATATATAATGAGTGACCGCCCAACAGCATGAAAAAGGCTAAATTAGTAGCTTTAATCATTATGATAAAATACTTTTTGTTATGTGCCGCTTTGAATCTCTTCTAGTTCAGCGTTGTATGATCGTTATATGATTAATATCGTTGCCTTGCTAGTGTACCTATGGGAGATTTTATGCTGTTTATAGCAACACATTAAGTTGACAACTTACAAGTATATAAGGGACGCAAGTATTTGATTTACTCTTGGCAACACTAATATCTACACGACGCATGGCACCATTGATTGTCTCGAAACCGGAATACAAAGAATAGTAATAGCAATAGTAATAACTATAGTCTGGGATGTTGATCTTAGATGTTTTTTTCACTCAAGTTTTTGATCTATACCGTGTATTTGCTTGCCGTTGGTTGAAAAACAAATATTGGGGTGTCGCATTAACAGTTACTTACAGATACTGCCACGCTTTGTGCAAAATTTCTGTATTTCTAATGGTTACCTCATTGGAGATCTCGATAACAATAGATATGATATCAGTCATAACAACGTATGACGTTTGCTAGTGCAGGATTGTCGTCTTTATATTGCTTTAATTGTAACAAAGGTAAATGAAGCGAAAATGGTTTTAGCAACCTCATACTTCGCATTTGAGCACGCGCCTAGATGCGCAATAAACCCAAGAGAAGTTCTTAATTAGCGGCTCGTCAAATCTATCTTGAGGTTTAAGATTGGTGGATGTGAATCAAATTAACTTGTTGTAACGTTATGCTGTCTATGTAGCACATGCGACTGCATTCAACTTTACGGTTTCGCACAGTAGTAACAAATGGCGACCAACCGTCAACAAGCCCCATGTAAAATAAGCTTCCCAAGGAATCTAATAGAACCTTTTTCGTGTTAGCCTAAATATTTGTTTCTCTGGCATCGATCGAAGCTTCGTTAAATGCCTCTTCTGCTCTGTAAATCCACTTAATCTTTTTTTTTTCTATAATATATTTTTATTATTACTATTTATAGAAATATTTTTCTCGGTATGACAATCCACAGATCGGCCAAACGAAAATACAAAACATTTCCACAACGACATGCCCCAATGAGGTAACGTTATATGCATATTTGTTCTTCCTCATTGACTTAATAAGGGAACAGGTCAAGCACCACCATTTTCTAGAATTGAAGTGATTTGTGCATTATTTTATCGATAATCGTTAGACGCTGGCAGGGATAATTTCTGTCTGTTATTGTGCTAACCTAAACGGATATACGCAGGCTTTTCCATATTTGTGGTTCTTTGTTTTCATGTTTGTGTATGTAAATTGTCACGTTTCGTCTATGGTTAAGCTATCTGCCACACTTTCTTCTGGCCCCTGATAGCGGAGCACCTTTGAGAGATTTTAATAGGCTGTCGAAATCGTCGTCTTTCTTTACCAATTCTCCTTTAGCATCGCGCAGGTAGTCTTTTTCCGGCTGGCTGTCCAAATCAGACCACTGTTGTCCACAAAACTGTCGACGACCGCCAAAGCAGAGCTGAAACTTTGGCAGTTCCGGGTCGTCATTACCTCGTTCGACAGCCTGGTAAGCATCCTTTGCGCGCTCGAAAGTAACGAAGCCATAGTTTTCTCCAGCGTCCCTGAAGTGAAGAGAAACTTCCGCGATTTTTCCAAACCGAGAAAACCATTCACGAACTTGGACACGTGTTGTTCCTTCAGGAATTTTGCCTGAAATTTTAGGACGATATCGAAACAACTGAATTAGAACCAGGTTGAGCACTTAAGCAAGTGACTTTGACAGTGAAGTCGGAAAAAGTATGTAACTTATATACTGATATAAGGAGAGCTCATATTTTTATGTTACATAAACCAATAAGTTGAAACCAAGTCATTAATGATTACTAAAACGAAGAGGAACATTGCTATGCAGTAGCGTGTAGTGCACAAGGATGTACAGTAAATGAAGCAACAAAGTGAAATTCACTTCATGAGATCTACTAACCGACATAAATAATTTTTCTGTCGCCACCTTTGCGAATCTTCTCGAGTGCTTCCTGCATTGCTGTCAACGTCTGAGACCGCTTTTGATATGGCGCTGATGGCTCTGCAGATTGACGGGGCGCATCCATACACCAGATATTTTTCCGTTCCCTCTTCGGTTGCAAAGGTGGACGCTGAGTGTTTGTATTACGGTTCTCCCAAACGGCTGTTGCGTACGCCTCTCGCTCATTGACTTCCAGACTACGTTGTCGATGTGCATGAGAACCTAAATTTAAAATGAAAAACGCGCATTTATTACTCGTGAGAATAATATATATATGGCGTTAAATGAAACTAAGGTTTGCCGTCCAAAATTTTTGCAAACACCCACCAACAGTGTAATCTGGTGATGGACACCTGCAACGACGACAGCCATCTCTTGATAAACTCCTCTTTCGGTAAGATTGATCGCCGCGCTGTCTGCTATTCCCAGCAGAGCCGCTGCATCCGCAGCAGTCTTCAATGCTCCTGCTACGGCTTCTAGCGCTATCCGATGAGGTAAAAGAGGAGTTGCTGGTAGCTGACCCACTCCTGCGGCGACGCCTACGGTAGGAACAGGCATCCGATCCCGAATTGCCATTTCGATTGTTGTTGGGGTCTCGTCGCAAGGACTTATTGAGGCCGCGAGCTTTCTCATCGTTCCACTGTGGACCTTCATGATCATCTTCAATTATCTCGTTAACTAATGCAGCTTCATTCCCTTCATGACTTTTTCTCTCACGATAAAGGCTCTCCACACTAGAATCCGATGAACCACCTTCACTTAATGCTGTCGCCATAACTTCTTCTTCTTTCACAAAATTAACAAGCTGTTCGTTATGATTTACACCGTGACTGACGAATGCCATGCCATCGTCAATCGTCCAAATCCCCTGATTACTGGCCAACACCATAGATCCATCTTCTGATTGCGCAGGTATCATAACTTCCCCCGGAGTCTGATCGGACTGCTGTAATGTTACCATCTGCACAGCGGTTGGCATATGCTGATTGACCTTAAGGAGACTGCGAGGCGTGGGCTGTTGCAGGGCCACTTCAGCAGGTTCCTGTTTACACGGTTGCTCTTGCTCTTGTTCCAAACTACCATTGACAGCCATCGACTGGGTCTCATCTCTTCTCTGGCGTTTAGCTAAGCTGAGATCAGGCAACACTTCGATACGGACCGGGCTTTGCTCTTCGTCACTTTCAACATCCATCGGCTCCGGTTCCAGATTGTCCTGATCTGCTTGGGCGGCTTTCTTCTGGAAACAATAGTCATGATCAAGGGCTACGAGAGAAATTTCGGCGGCTTTTGAAGTGGGCACCTGCAGCAAGATAGATTGTCGCGCCGACGCCTTCTGCGCGGCAGCCTTGAGCTTTTCGACCAGAGAACGCGGCACGACCTTTTGCTTTGATGTTGTCTCGCGGTAAGGCGAGACTAGTAGACCATCGAGGCGGAGTTTTGGCGCCGATTCTGTGGGAGATAGCTGAAAATTACAGGCGTCGATTGAGAACACATTTGGCATTAACCGATGTAATTGAATGCGTACGACATTATAGCGTTTGTTGCGATCTTTAAGTAAGAATATGAAAATCTTGAAAAATGAAATTAGAAACCTTCCATGTGAAACAAAGTTGAACGTTTGCTTGTAAGCCCGAAATTTTGAACTTTATTACGACTTACCGAAGACACTTTAGTGCAAGTTAACGAGCTATTGGTGTTGCTATCGGATAGTGCAGGCGGAATGCTGTGCGACTTCTTTTTTTTTCCACCATCCCGATTGCTACAACTAATTGAGTTTGAATTCTCATTGTTGTTATTACTTTTGGTATTGTTGTCATTCTTATTTTTGTTGTCGCTGCTGCTGATGTTGTTGGTCTTACTAGTGTTATTTCTGTCCACGCTTTTGGGAGATCCGATATTAGTAAATTGGCTGTTGTTGCTAGCCGCACTGTCAGCGCAACTTGGGTACATCTTAACTGGAGTTTTTCCAAGTTGCGGTGAAATATCTAAAAGTGAAGTTGCTGCATGGGCACCTTGCCACTTGATAGGAGATGAGGGTGGCGTATCCAATATTCGCCGGGTACGGTTTCGTTTGTGTAACGACTTCCGGCTGCTTTTTTTCGCTTGCTTTTCGTCAGTGCTATGGGCACCACTAGATAGAAATGCAGGAAGTTCTGTTATTGTGGAATTGCCCGATTGAACAGGGGACAATTGTAGAAAGGACGCACCTTCCGGTTCCATTAGCACTGCAAAATAATAACAAATGACACTGTAGATACGGTTATAGTTGACTAACTCAGCAAGATCAATAACAGATCCAAGGAGCATTGTCTATTTTTATTGTATCGCATAATGTATTCAAATAACTTCATTTGTTAATAAGCTGTTAAAATTTAATAATAACGAACAGGTTAAAACTGTGATTCGAGTGAGTGGGACGCAATTAAATTGCCGCAATTGGCTATTAATACGGACTGTCAAAAAGCATAAGTTGTATATCACTCCTTCTTACCTGAGTGTTTCAAACGACTACTTTCGTCGTCACTGACGATTCGATTTCTTTTTTTTCGTTTAAGTGTAGCTACTTCTGCATCGTCCCTAAGACGCAACTTCATCTTGCCGTAATGATGTGGCAATACTCCCATTGTGCGCGCGCAACCGCTGCGGACTTCGAAATATTCGTTTTCGTTACCTGGATTCGAGACGCATCCACTTGCAGCGGTAGGTTCCTCTAATGAGTCCACGGATTCAATATCAACAAGATCCTCACGTGTTTGCGATGAGTCATCGCCAAGCGAAGCAAACTGCGAGACCATAAGATAGCATATTCAATAATTTCTTTTGAATAATCGACAAAAGCAATCTTCATACCCCGCAACGCACTGGTGGTGACACGAAAGAACTTAAAATTCAAGAAACAGTCGGGAGCAACGTTGGAAATTACTTGAGACGAGCGCCATTTTCAAGTTTAATGAGATTAGTCGGAACATTAAATTACTAGATTAGTCTCGATTCCACGTAAGTTAGTGTTGCTTACCCCGTGCATGAAGCAAAACTAAAAACAAACATAGGTGGCCCTTTTGAAACACTGTTATCTTAACGGACCGAAGTGCGCGTGAAATTGATCTTTGCCCATACCATGATCATGCCGCTCGCCAAATACATTGGTACTTGGTTTTCCTTTGTTTAAAGCAAACGTGGTACCCTGCTTGATTTCCCGGAAAGAACTCGCTTGGTTTGCCACCTCAACATCAATGAACCTCAGTGATCTTTACTATGCCATCAATGACCCTCAGTGATCTTTACTATGCCGTTAATGACCCTCAGTGATCTTTATTATGCCGTCAATGACCCTCGGTGATCTTTATTATGCCGTCAATGACCCTCAGTGATCTTTGTTGTGCCAAGTCGAGCAAGTTTACAGGCACCCAATAGCCAACCGCCCCTGCGTAGCACACAATAGTTCTTCCGACTCGCTGAGGCCACTTCGAGATCGTGTCATATCATCAGATCAGAGAGGTACGACGGAGGGACGCGAACCTCGAGATTCACCCAGTGATGTTGTAATGGCATTGTACATCTCTGTCGTCACAGTTTCCGTGAGGACAGAATCGACATATCGCTAGTGTAGTAATCGCTAGGCAAGTATTTCGCGATTTCTCATGCATAGGATAATCGCCTTCTCCAAGGCACGTTTGTACCAGAAATGTACATACTGAACCAGAACAATGCATATAACTATGCGCTCTTCAATGCCCATATGCATAGAGCATAAATTTTTCTCATGTGTTGCGCACATCGGCTCAATGGACCGCCTAGCTGAGATTGAGGTCAAGAAGTCTAATAAACGATAAGAAAAGAAAGAACAATACAGAATCCTTTCGCTAGTCGAGAATCATCATTGAGAATATAGCAAGATAGATTTTTTCCAGTTTTCCCGGAAGCGTAAACTTTTTTCAGGGCACTAGCGCCCATTCATGGAGACTACAGTCTTGTTGGTGTAACACGAGCTCTACTTTGTTAATGAACGTCTCCGTGTATCGAACTTGCGTACAAATGCTAGATTCACCATCTCAATTAATCAAGCACACTTACAACTTCTTGATTAGTATTCTCGTTGTTCAGACGCTTTTGTTTATTATTATTTTTCAATAATTTTACCGCATTTCCCTTTTTGTAAAAATAAACGCGTCTGTCCAAAGGCAACGTCCTCCCCGACAATCTATGCCCAAAGCATGCGAATGGGCAATTATGAAAGAACCCACCACTGGCTCAATGTCTTCTTCTTCGAAAACAGAAAATGGGTCGAGATGGAAGCTGGCCATATTTCCCATATCGTCAACGCCTGGAAGTAAATGCATGAAGTCGTTCGCCTGGTCAAGGATGCCCGCATCGTTTTCGAGAATTTCGTCCATGAGTTCTGAGAGACAGAGTGATTCGTCGCGTCCACGTGCGGCAGGAGCAACTTCCCGCTCGTGGTCCGAACGCCGGAAGTCTACAGTGGCCGTCATCGTCGATGTGATACGTATGCTTAAAGATGCGCTGGCGAGCGGCAACGCTCGCCAAAACGGTTACCGACCAGCGCCGCTAATGTGTGCAGATCCTTCAAACGTGTTGCAAGCAGGATCGCGATCGAGGCCGTTGACACGTGAGAACTCTGTGAAAAAAAAGTAATTCATCGATTTTTCACCTATAATTCGGAAATAGAAGCTAACTACTTACGATTCCAAACATTTTTTTCAAGTAGAAAAATCTCTATGTTATTAAAGTCTATACTTTTTGCACCTGTAAGAGGCCCTGCAATAAGAAGTTGTACCATAAATTAAACATCTGCCATAAAATTAAACATATTACAAACGGGTGACTACTTAATAAACTACTACCAAACTAGTTGAGTGCTATTATTTGCTTTGCGTCTTTAAAAAATCGTAGGTTACATAGCTATCACTCGTCTTGAGTACGTTACCTAGAATACTGCTAAAACTAACTGTCTTTCTAATCGATCCAAATCGCTTTGGATGTTTTTAAGCTTCAGGCTTTATTTTAGGGGGTAGTCTGCTTGTGCAATGACTCGATTAAAAGGTATTCCTTTCCCTCGAAAAGAAAGCTAAACACATTCAGCACACTTCTGGCGAAACAGCTTAGCCTATATTTTATCGAAACATATCCACTGGAATAAATAAAGCTAGAAACAAAGATGACGTGAAAAGCTGTATTTATATTGTCTCGTATTCGACGACTATTTTGCTTGGCGTAACGGGATAACTGTCGGCGTGTACCTAAGATATTCTTAACGTTAGGTTAGGTGTACAACATTAACAATTCAGATTATTAAAACAAACTAACGGCGAAACATGCGGTAAGCAAAGTCTGCGGATCCGAGGACCGGGATTCAAACTATCATATACTATGTCAGTTGAATTTATAACATATACAGTGTAACAATACCAAACACGACGAAAAGAGCCGTGTGTTAATTGTATCAACATGTCATTATGCTATTACGTTTTTGCGAGGCAGAGAGATAAATTAATTAATGATCAAGTGAGTGCGAGACAAATCCAACGGGTCTGTCCAGTAATATCTACATCACGAATATTTGAGACAGAGAAATTTATAACCACTACAATAGATCTATATAAAAGCGCTCAAAAAACTAAGAAATTTGCTGTTCATGTAATTGAGTACAAATATAATTAGTAGTTATGTTCTAAAAAATAGGTAGTGAAAGAATATTCGTCCGGTTATAAGTAATTCTTCAAAATACTTCCTGTAATTCTAATGCCAAATATTCACAGTTCAAACCTTTATTCGCTTTATATTGACATTGTTAGTACTTGTTCTTAGGGCAATGGAGAATAAAAAGAAACTTCAAATACAAAGAAATAGCCCTAAGGTTCTGTATGCTAGCTTAACTCCAGACCAGAGCACTGTAAAATGTTTACGAATGTAAATCAATGTACCGATGTACGAGAGACTAAGTACGTTCTCAAGCGCATTACATTACCTGGTAAAGTTGAACTCATCCCCTTTAGTGCAGCCTTACAACTGCACTATACAGATTTCCACAAACAGGTCAAAAACACCCTCGTCCGTGTACTTATCTGCACTTGATTCATTTTCCTCATCGCAAGACTACAGTTTGCTGCAACTGGCTCAAAAGACTCAAAATGGACAATACAATCTTCTGTCGTGATCAATGTACTGCCTCTTCGGTTGTAAACGTATTTGGATTGGATCTACTATAGTAATACGCGGGGGAATAATAGTTAATAATGATACTGAATTTTTGTCGGTAAAGCCAACATAGCCAAAGGACACAGTTTCCAGTTACAATAAAAGGGCCGTCGTTACGATACATAACTCTCATTGAGCCTTAATTCGTAATGTGCTTAACTTATATTTAACAAATGCACTATTTTATCATAGCGTTTAATTTTCCGCATTTCAAACGCATGAAAAGACAACCTAATCTGTTGGAGACTAGACTAACTAAAACCCAGTATTTTAGAATCAATGTATTACAACTTAAAGCAAACAACCCACCAATACACAAGCGTGCTTGACACCTACTTTTGGCAGCCCTAAGAAATCGAAGAATATGTTTTGCCTTTGAATATTTGGGCCATATGCGGACCTCTTAAAAATAATTTTAAATCATGTAGACTAGGCGAAAAAAGTACTGTATCAGCCGTCACGAAAAAACTAGTTAGGAGCGTTAAATACGTGGAAAATACTTTTTCAGTTGACTTATTATCAAGTCGAGCAGCTTTAGTTTTTAACACGGAGCGAACAGTTTTATTTTGAAACAATTCTTAAGTTATATCCGTTCTCACCGCAAAGTTACATAAGTTACGCGTAAAGATACAATCATTTTAGAAATCATCGTTTCATAGACAATCTATTTCTGGTTTCAATCAGTACGTGCTGCCCGGGTGGCCACTTCATGCAAGAAGACATACACAGACATACAAATACGCACAAAAAAGCAAACGCGTATTATCCTTATATCTTAGGTTAATATTCGTCTACTGAGAAAGCCTCGTAATAAAATCCTTATGAAATATTTACACCTCACTCACAAGAATTATATCAGCGAGCAGACACACCTCGTGTACAATTAAATGTCCGATTACTTTATTCAATTCCTGTGTCGGTAAATTTCCAAGATGTCGTACTAAGAATAATTATTCTTACTGCGTATACAAAAACTTTACCTCAAACGTAAGAATACTCCAATATAAAGTTCGAGGACAGACGAATCTTAAAATCGGTATAACATCTTAGTCGTAAATACGGGTGTTTTACGGGACGGAAGGAGGGAGTATGTAGAATTCTTGCTTTCGCTAGTTTGGGGCCGTAAACGTCGATTTACAACTGTATCGGATACTACGGACTCTCATCTTATCTGTGAATCAAAAAGACAGCAAATCAATAATGGTTTCCAGGCCGCGTTTTGTTCTCGTTGTGATTTCTATATTGCTACCAGTATGATTTATTGTCTGCCACTACTAGGTGATCTATATAAATACGGCTGTAGCATAATGTGTGGTAGTGGTCTCCACACAGTCAGGTTGCTTCTGTACTGACTTGATGCAATCATCTGTCGCGGATTGATAACGGCAACCAGAAATGCTACGTCGAGACAAAATAACCAACAAAGATCAAACCATAACTATAGACCAAACTGGCTTCAAAACTAGGTGTCCATATTTTTCTCAATGACAGTTACATGATTGTGACTACATAACAGTCTGAAGGCAGAATACATGAATAGCTGAATAAAAGACCGGACCTAGTTTAGAACAGCAAATTTTTTGCGGGCTGTGGAGAAGTGGAAACTAGAACAGATTTCTTGACCCAATAGCAGATTAGCTTGGCTATCAGCCTTAAGCAAAGAAAATCACACTCTTGAGAACAAAAACACAATAGGCTGTACGCGACTGAATTTTCATGCAACCAACCAAAGTAATAGATGAAGATTTACTACAAACACTTTACGAACATCGTTTGTTTAATACGAAAACACATACCACACAGAAGTACACGTTAACATCCAAGTTTTCAATAATACTCAAAAAAACATATTCACATCTGGAATTCATCTACATACACTTCGATCGCATATTGTGTCAAGAAATGTCATATTAACTAGTGGATTGTTTGCGATGTCAGTTCACTCCCAATTTACAAGATTCCATTACTTGACATACTCAACAGCTCAACGACGGAAAAACGCTCGCAAGCCTTCAACCAGGAGGTTTACAGCTGTTATGTCTATGTCGATATTCACCGATTTGCAACCTTAGAAATTCTTCATACAACGGCATCGTTTTGAAGGATAGCTCTATCTTCAGTGAATATCGGTCGCAGACAACTTCAAACATGACAACGAATTAGTAAATTGTACTTTACGTTCCGTAGGATTTTCAAAGCATGTTCACATCTATATATATATATATATATTTGGACCATTAATATGCTTATCAAGCGAAATCACAGCTTGGTTTGACCGCAGTTTTCTAGTAACCTCGGACCCTTTAGAATCTGAACAAACTCGTTGACACAGGGACTGACACTTAGTCTTGTGATGAATCGTACTCAGTAACGCGTATGTTAGCAACCCGTGTGCCCCTTTGATAACTGCAGTAGCGGCAGTGCAGCGGTTCTCTTCCCTATTTTCAACAATGAAAAGTAATCTGATATAACCGAAACCTGTTATCAGCGACAAATTCCGATTAGTACACACTTTCTAGAGAATGTACATAAGAAGTAATGGATTAACAAGGCTTATCCAGATTAGTTATTGTAATATTTGTTAAGCAAAAACTCTATGTAACAACTAGTACCAAATCTTAACCGATGAGTACGACTTCTGGCAATTATTCCGGTAACTCACACGAGCCCATAGTACTAGTTAATGGAGAACCCGACTGGCAAGTAGTGCTGCGTAAACCAGAAAGAATACACACTTAGTTGATATGATCTCTACTAACCCTAATTGTCCTACTACTGCATAAACCTAATGAGATAAAATAAAATGCGCCTCTTCCCCCGCTAAGCTAACTAAAGGGTACCTTGAGCTGATATCAAAAATGAAAAAAAATTGTCATCACTCGCTGCTGCTACAAAACGCACCATCCACTAGATGTTCTTTTCGTATAAATGTCTCGTTGCCACTGTGGTTTTTCAAGAAGAAGAAGGAAATTTATTTCCCATTATATATTCCGCAAGCGCTAAACAATGTGGAGCTAGTGAATAATCCGGTAAAGGAGCATAAAACATGATTTTTTCCACTTACGTTTCATATTTAGCATTTTGAGTATAAAATCTATTTTGTGTTTGAGGTAGTTGTCCTTCACGATGTGGTGCGAGTACAGTGTCCTGCTGGTTAAATGTCGTTATTAATACGTCTCTTAAAATAAAGATTTATTACAGTAGACGGAGTAAGGCTCCAACCGTTAGAATAGTGAGCTGATGGTTGGTTTAAGCCTGCTAAAAATAGACAGTTAAGTTTTATACTTGCCTATCACAAACTTAACAAGTTAACTCTGGAAACAACGAACAACAAGGAAACGACTAAATTCGCACTGAAATGTCAATTATCGCAGTAACTATAGCTCTTTGTGAATATCGCAGTGAAAATATCCTGGTGAAGGTCCTACACTACTATAGCAAATAAAGAGAAATCGAGGCCCGACATCCATACACAAGATCACGCACACACCTTCTGAAAAAAAGAACGAAATGGCGTGGGATTCAGTCGCATTTGTGCAGCAAGACACAAGCAAATTGTCGAACCCGAAGTGTCGAAGGACTGATCAATTTATGGATAAATGAAGTGGGCAACTAGGCTCGAGTCAAATTTGCGAGATAACTGTCAGTACTATCTCAAAGAGCGACATGCGGGTGACGCAGTCGGTGGAAGCCCAAGCAAAAAAGAACCACGGGTTAAATGACTTCGTGCTTCAGTATCTAAAATATCGTGGATGCATTCATGGAACCGATCAGCATCTGCTTGAACTGGTAGACCCCGTTGCGTACATAACGCAATTTGTTCCTTGTTCTCCGGTTGTAGACAGCACTCATGGAGAAGTTCCAATGTACTGAAGCAATAAATACGGGAGCAAGGGTTATCAATGGGCAGCAGCGATTACATGCTCTGTTTCGTGATAGCATTTAGTTTGAGTTAGTCAGTCCAATCAGAATCGCACCGTGTCATCATTGTTTTTGGCCAGGACAACGGAAGAGGACTTCTGGCTTCGTGGAAGCTCAGATGGCTTTGCTGCGTAGTCAGAACCTCATGACATAAGTCCTACCTCTTTACTGGTGGCAGGGTGTCGTTGATAACCTGGTTGTTGATTGATATCGATCGCTATATTGTTGTATGAGACCTATGTGTGTAACTTTGCTCTATTGCTTAGTGAAATTACCGCCGTGCTGGTTCGACCAATCCTGCACGTAGCCTGAATAACTTAGCGCTATAAAAGAAAACTCCGTCATCGCCTTTAGCTAATGGTAAGTTTCGTGGTGCAATATATACATATAGGAGTCTGCTGTGTACTACAATGGTTTAAAATACCATTGAATGTGAGATGGCTATTTCACCATCATTCACCATGTGACTTAATGGCAGGCCGATGTATCCATTATCTAGATCTATCTATTAGATAGATAGCACAAAATAGTATAACGCTTAGCTTCTCTCAAAATCTAAGGAAGCTATACCATGTCTTATATCGTTTATGATAAATAAATTATTGACGTATTGCTTTCAAAAGGATTTTTGACAAAGCATGCCAGACCATTCATGCTTATGGTTTTATATACGCTGTTTTATATATTTTCCATTCAGTTTCCAGTTAATAATTAATAGCCCTATAAAACGCGTGCGTCTAAATACATACGATGTAGTTAAATAACTTTCATAC